CCCTCTGGCACCTACTACCTCGCCGGACCAGGCCTGTTCTCTGACGACCATGGCTCTACAGTACACCCCCTCGACGGCCACGGGTACCTCAGGGCATTCATTTTTGAGAACAAAAAGGAGGTCAGTTTCATGGCGAGGTACGTGAGAACGGAGGCGAAGATGGAGGAGCACGATCCTGCGACGGACACGTGGCGGTTCACGCATAGAGGGCCGTTCTCAGTGTTGAAGGGAGGGAGGAAGTTGGGGAATACGAAGGTTATGAAAAATGTGGCGAATACGAGTGTGCTGCAGTGGGGCGGCCGCCTTTTGTGCCTGTGGGAGGGCGGAGATCCCTACGAGATTCAGCCGGAGACTCTGGATACTGTCGGGAAGTTTTCAGGTGTTGACGGTGGCTGTGATCGTGATTCGCCGTCCCAGGGCGGACGTCACGGTGCTGGGTTTTGGCGTTTTGCTGCGGAGCTTTTGAAGCCTGTTCTCTACGGTTGGTATTTAGTGATGTTTAGTTTGAATTTTATTTCATAAATTTATTATAAATTAGTTTTATTTTAAAGTTTTTAATATATTATAATACTATTTAAATTTAATTTTTTAAAAATAACCAACAACCCTTCCCCTCAATGGCTGGCTCTCACCAACCGGCTCTCTAATAATCCACTTTCTTCGCGGCTAGCATCCTCTCTAGCATTCGTTCCTTTTCCAATCAACATGGAACCCTCTAATCCACTTTCTTTGGACTCAACGTCCTTATTGGTACATTGCCTCGTGTCCACCCCGGGGCTCAATCTTCTCTCTAACACGGTGTCTTTCTCTCATACTATTTATAACCCTCAAAGTTCACCACTAGGTGATATTGTTCTCTTTCGGCTTTTGTGTCTACCTCCTTCGGGCTTAGTCTCCTCGCGGGCACATCACCCAGTGTCTAACTCTGTTACCATTTGTAACGGCCAAAGTTCATAGCTAGCAGATATTGTTCTTTTTAGATTTTTCTTGAAGGTTATTAAGAAGCTAAGAGAGGTTTCCACGCACCCATCCGATTTGATTTTTTAAAATTGAGGAGGATAGTTTACAAATTTTTATTAAAAAATCTTTAAAAATAAATATAAAATTAGAAATAGGGATTAAAGCCGGTAAAATAAGAAGATAATAATTATTAAAAACAATAGGAATTAGCAACAGAAATGGGGAGAGGAAAGCAGGAGAGAATAATATATAAAATAATTGGTTTTGAATTAAAAAAAAGAGAAAATATTGGTGGATGGGGCAAAATGGGAAATAAAAAAGTAATTAAAAAATAGAATGTGGGAATAATGGGTACAGGAGTGTTCAAGATGCCACCAAGGAGGCTGTTGTCGCATTACAAGGTGGACGCTCAAAGGAATCGCCTCCTCTTAAACTCATGCAATGCTGAAGATATGCTTCTACCTACCAGTCATTTCACATTTTATGGTATAATATATATATTTTTTTTATTTCTTATATATTTTGTTACCATTTATTACCACTTGATTTTCTTTTGGGGTTTTTTTTGTGCAGAATTTGACAGTAATTTCAGGTTATTAGAGAAGAAAGAATTTGTGATCGATGATCACCTTATGATTCACGATTGGGCTTTTACCGATACTCATTACATCCTCTTTGCTAACAGAATTAAGCTTGATCTCTTCGGTATGTTGTTTTTGCTCTTCTTCTTCTTCTTATTAAGCTACCATTGAAAATTTAATTTGAATACATGACTCGAATAACTCAAACCAACTTAATATTTTATGGTTGGATTCAGATGAATTCATTGTTTAATAAGAGTGATATTGTAACCGCTAAAATTCAATGTTATCCGATGTTGTTCTCATTTGGACTTTCTCTTCCGAACCCCAAGTCCACCATCAGTACCTATTGTTTTCTTTTGGACTTTACCTACATTTTTAAAAGGCATCTTTTAGAGAGGGATAAGTTTCAATACCCTTATAAAGGATATTTTGTTCTTCTCCCCAACCGATATGGGATCTCACAATCCGTCCCCTTCAGGGTCCAGCATCCTCACTAACACTTGTTCCCTTCTCAAATTGATGTGGGACCCCAATCCACTCCCCTTTAAGGCTTAGCTTCCTCGCTGGTAAATTGCCTCATGTCTAGCTCTGATACCATTTGTGTAGCAGCTCAAGCCCACTAGTATTACCTATTGTTCTCGTTGTGCTTTCTCTCTTTAGCTTCTATTCATGGTTTTAGAATGCATATATTAGAGAAAAGTTTCTATACCCTTCTAAAATGTTTCACTCTCAACCCCAAATCGAGGGATCTCACCTCTATCAATTAAAAAATTTACAACAAAATAATGGAATGATATTTAATAATAATGAAAACATATTTGCATTGAATGTGGAAATGAAGGTGCGATGGGTGCGGTTAGCGGGGCATCTCCAATGATATCGTCGCTGGGTGTAAACACAAGCAAATCCACATCTCCAGTTTATTTGTTGCCTAGATTTGGTGAGCATCACCCAACCAGAGATTGGAGACAGCCCATTCAAATTCCTTCAAGCCTTTGGCTACTCCATGTTGGCAATGCCTTTGAGCTTACCGACCCACAAGGCAACTTGGACTTCCAAATCCATGCATCTGCTTGCTCTTATCAATGGTTCAATTTCGACAAACTATTCGGTAAGACCTATTTTCCTCAATACTTCTCGTCCCCTTTCATAACCATTTTGTTTTAAAAGATAGTAACTCTTATCTATTCTCGCAAGGTTATAATTGGCAGACAGGAAAACTCGACCCGTCTATTATGAACCTCAATGGAACTAAAAGTGAGTTGTTGCCTCGCCTTGTTAAGGTAAATGTTTGAACCCATGATCATTGGAGGTTGTTAACCTATCATTATCTACCTTCTATTATGAACCTATCATTATCATTATCAATGGAGATATATAGATGTATTTCTTATTTATAAATCCATGATCATTTCCTAAATTAGCCAACGTGAGATTCCTTCCAAACAATCTTCAACAATTCTCTCCTCAAATAAAGTACACCATAGAGCCTCCCCTAAGGCTTATAGAGCCCTCGAACAGCCTCCCCATAATTGAGATACACCCTTTGCTCGACATTTTACTCATTATTTACTACATGTTCGAGGATTCTATTGACATACCTAAGTTAAGAGCATGACTCTAATACCATGTTAGGAATCACAACTCTCAACAATGGTATGATATTGTTCACTTTGAGTATAAGCGCTTTGTTTTGAGCTTCCCCAAAAGGCCTCATACCAACGAAGATGTATTCCTTACCTATAAACCTATGATCATTCCCTAAATTAACGAACATGGGACTCCCTCCCAACAATCTTTTGCAGGTATCCTTCCGTTTAAGTAAGAATGGGGAGTGTGAAAAATGCAGCGTGGAGCCTTTGAACCAATGGACAAAAGCCTCAGATTTTCCAACGATAAACCCTACATTCTCAGGGCTGAAAAACAATTACTTATATGCTGCAACTTCCTCCGGTTATCGGGAATCGCTACCATCGTTTCCATTTGATATGATCGTAAAACTTGACATGGTCACGAACACCGCCCGAACATGGTCTGCGGGTAATCGGAGATTCGTTGGAGAACCTGTTTTTGTTCCTAAAGGAGATGGAGAAGATGATGGATATGTTCTTGTGGTTGAGGTTAGCAAACTCATAAAACATCTTTTATTATTATTTTTTATTAAACATTAAGAAATTGAAGAAAATGATTTGAGTGTGTAAATGCAGTACGCAGTATCAATACAAAGATGTTATCTTATGATTTTGGAGGCTAAAAAAATTGGAGAAGGCGATGCAGTTGTAGCAAGGCTTGAAGTCCCAAAGCATCTCAATTTTCCTCTTGGCTTCCATGGTTTCTGGGCTGCTAATCCATAACCATAAAAATTTATTCAACTCTCTTACATGTAAATTTATAATGTTGTTTTTCCTTTTTGTAATAAAATTTGTTTAATAACATAGGCACAAATTTAAATAAAACATTTTAAAACGGTAACATTACCAAACTCAAAAGCTACCTATAAAACTATAAAACTACTCATGGAAAACAATACATATTTGGTCATTCCATAATTCATCGACCCAACTCAACTCATGAACAACAAATATCTTAAGAATCGAAAACACGAAACATAGCATCATCGATCGAGACCAAGTTTTGTTTTTATTTTCCCTCTTTTGTGATTTCTGTTGTTTTTTTTTTTTTTTTGCCTTATTTACTGTGAATTTGGGCCAATTTTGATGAGTTCTTGTACATTAAACTCCTAGAACATTTAGCTACTTTTGATAGTTAATTTTTCTAGGACTATCGACATTTTTCCTAAAACTAAAATTGGTCGGGATAAATAGGTAGATAATTCGATATTAAATGTAAATTCCTAAAATACATATTAATACTTGTCACTTAATTTTCTAATCTAAAACCTAAATTTTTTCAAGTCATACTCAGAAATTGCAACCGAAATTACACAAATGACGAAAAAGATAGATTTAAGAACAAGACTTGCTGGATTAGTCACCTCTAATGTCAATTCTTCTCTAACAATAATGATGGATCTGTGCAATATCTGACGGATATGGTTAAGAGATTCGATCTAACTTATCGATTATGTCTAAAAGATTTCTAATGGTAAATGACTTATTTAGGGTAACTAATAGAAAGAGGAGTTAGATATTTTTGTTGGTTAAAGATTTTTTTCTTGAGTAATGGATTGGTTTTTTTTTAAATAAACATTGCCTTATTCCAATTCAAATCTAAAATGAAAAAGAAGTGTGAAACCATTTTATTTTATAAGTTCGAGGTACTAGAAATATTAGGTGGTTCACGACACAAAGTCTCCTCCAAACATTCGACCATCTTATTTATTTCGAAAAGTACAACAAAAGAAACTCAAAAGAATGAGAGTCAAATGGATAGAGGCAGTCTTCTTTTTTTAATTAAGGTTCTCTATTATTTTGAAGTTCTATGGCGATGAACAATTCATCGGACAACATAAGGAGAGGAGCATATCTTGGGGTTTTGTCTTCCTGAAATGATGGGTTTCACATTGGTGCATTGGGAGGAAATAGAACCTTTTATTCCATTGTAAGTGAGGTCAATGTTGCTTACTTTTACATCGTAACATGGTAAGTAACGGCTGCAAATGAGTCTGATTGCCAGCGGAGTTGCAGAACTTCCTCTAATGTTCTTGAAGCTCACGATACGAATCTTAATTTTTGAAAGAATCTGAAAATTAAAATGAGACAACAAATGGTTTATTTGTGACGTTATAACGAAAAAATGAATCAAAGGTTCGAGAATACGATCAATACCTGCCGATTGCACTGATTCCACGGACAATACTCTTGATCTATTAGAATAGGGTTGCTAACATTGACCATTATAATGTCCAAAAAGTGCATATTGGTGGCGGTGCCGCTAGCAGCAGAAGCTGGCCACGTTTTGATCCTAACACCATTAGTGGTGTTAATTAGCGTGCAGTTCTTTACGGTGACACCTTCAACAGGTTCTTCATTAGTGTATCTTCCAAGACTTCCGATGCTTATTCCATGTCCTGGCCCGCATGTCACGTTGGTGACTTCAATTAGTTTGCTTCCATCTCCAAGAGAAATGCATTCATCTCCAATTGCAATTTTGAACTTTGTGATTGTGATCTTATTTGATCGACTGATGTGTATTCCATCAGTGTTGGGACTATTCTTTGGTGCAATTATATTGATATTATGGAACGTGAGGTTGTTGCAGCCCAGGACGTTGATATGGAAGTTCTTGCTATCAAGTGATGTTATTCCCTTAACGGTTGAATTGGTGATGAAGTTGAACCTCAAACTCTAAACATTTTGTATAATAAAATAATATTCTGTGAGAGTCGGTAATGAAGCTAAAAATTTAAACAAAACCCAATAAAATTGAAAACTCAAAAAAATTTCACTTTTTCAATGGATTGTTTAAAGATTATCCTCTAGAAAATGAAGAACATTTACCAAATTAACAAAATTTGGTAACCTCATTTAACAAAATTTCAAGAGACCATCAAACATAATATTGTTCGAAACTAAACACGCTTAACTTTTGAGTCTTATGATTGAACCACCAAAAGTAGGCAACCTCATTTTTAGAGATAGTTTTCAATCCTAGGAGCATTTCAAAACAAGTAACTAATGTGACCATATCATTAAAGATGCAAGAAATTGTGGGGGCATCTGATGCCAAGTTTGGATTCCAAATCCTGGTCCAAATTTTAGGTATGAGATTACTCTTAGGAGGCATGTGAGTAAGGAAAAATGTTAAGGATAGTTGACCGTTCATTATAAGACAAATATCATATATTTGCCTTACCTACGGCTTACCATATTTGCCCTTTTATTAAATGCAAATATATTATATTCATTTATTATTCTTTCCTTATTTCCATATTATTTGTAATTTACCATATTTTTGTATTATGTAAATGATTATAAATAAAAGAACTCTCACCACCATTTAGGTGTGGTGAATTCAGCAAACATTTACATGGTATCAGAGCCATTTCGGTTTAACAACCCTAATCCTTTCTTCTCTATGGCTTCCGAATCCTCTCATCATCTTCTTCCTTTCAATACTCTAATCCATATGATCACCATCAAACTTTCTTCCTCCAATTATCTTCTTTGGAAAAGCCAACTTCTCCCTTTCTTTGAGAGTCAAGACATGCTGGGCTATGTTGATGGAAATATGGTTCCACCACCTCACTTTGAACCAAAAACCTCCTCAACACTCAATCCCAAATATTTGGCGTAGAGAGCAGCCGATCAACGACTTCTTTGTCTCTTGCTCTCCTCTCTCATTGAGGAAGCCATGCTGTTGTCGTTGGTGATGAAGCAATTTGGATCTTAGACACTCTTATAACATCAATTATAGTAAATTACTAGCATGTTCATAAGTATTAAAACTCAATGAGTTTGAATACTAACCTTTTGTTGCTCAAGTTTTGGTGATGGTGTTAATCTTTTGTCGCTCAAGTTTCTTTTTCCTCACGAACCGGTTTTGAACCACCACTAGTGTCTTCTCCACTATTCTCCGGCCTTAGAACGAGATTGTGGAATCCGGTGAGTGAATAAACTTGGGGGAGATTTAGTATATATGAAGAGAGAGTTTGTGAGATGTTTTTCTCAAGGTTTTTCCCAAGGAAGACCTTCCATGTACCATGATCACTCTATTTATAGAGTCATGTTTGCATGTTCATGCAAATTTGAGATCACCAAATTTTGACACTCAAAATTCCACTCAAATGTTTGAGATTATGTAGCAACAAGTTTGAGTTCACCAAATTTTGAGTAATATTAAATTATTAATTAAACTATTTAATTAATATTTAATATTAATTCAAATGTCAATCCCAATAAATTCCGACACATATTTGATTAAGATATTTAAATATCTCAGATTCTCTCTTTTTGTTTAATTGTAAATAAAACAAAAATGCGGTTAAATATATCGTATATATGTAGCACATATTTTCTAATTTGAATTCAAACACTTCGAACTCACTCGTCACACTGTTCTATGGTTTAATCCGATATGAGCTAGCAGAGGGACCTAATGGACCTATAGATCATGGGCTTCAACGATCCAAAATTAACCGGTTAAACTCATTAACCTTGTTAACCAACATTCGTGTATACTAGGACATTCCACTATAGCTTAGTAGTTGCACTCCCCTCACTATAGATATATTTCTGTCCATTTGATATAACCATGATTAGTAAGTCGATCATTCATAGGTTGACCGTAACTAGAGCTGAGTCAATTTACCATTTTACCCATGAAGTTACTTCTTGTTCCTTATGTCTCACTGATCCTGTAATGAACAATTGGTTTGTGGTCCAACCAGTAAACCGAATCTCTCTCAGGCCAATGAGAGGGTGAGGCCCCTTGTTTAAGACCTGGAGTCCGTGCTTAAAGGAACTACCTCTCTTCTATCCCTAAAAGTGGGTAGGAGAGAATTCCATCTTGCACCCCACGTCCCCAGCCATTCACCTAGTCTTACCCCTGAAATGGTAGACCTATTGAGTCGGCAAACTCGAGCCACTCTCACCCATGCAAATCTAAGGATAATCCGAATAAACACGAGTTCATGGTTAGCTCAGGATTAAGATCGAGTTACCTAGGTCATCGAATGAAAAGAAAATCAGTCTCAACAGTAAATGACATTATAAAGTGAGAGGGATTTTCTTCATGGTCAGATCTTATGCAATACTCATTGCATAGGACACCCCCCCACTCACATGTCTCCACATGTACAATTTAGTGATCACATTGTTTATGTCTTATACAAAAGTGGGTCACATCTATAGTGTCCCCAGTATAAGGTACTCAGCCTTATCCCTGGATTTAGATTAATAATCGTAAAGTTTACTTTATTCAATAACAATCTTTACTGAATAAACAAACATAATAACTTTATTGAAAATAGAATATGTTTTTGTTTACAAACTATGAGTTTTAGGACATAAAACCCAACAGTTGGTCTCTTTACTGCACGTGATGTTTGGCTTGCGTTGGAAACTGCGTTCAACCATCATTCGAAAGCTCGTGAATTGAGACTCATGGATGACTTACAATTGATGAAACATGGCACCAAACCTGTTCTTGAGTATGCCCGTGCCTTCAAAAAAAATTTGTGTCCAACTTCATGCCATTGGCAGACACGTCGAGGACATTGATAAAGTGCACTGGTTCCTTCATGGACTCGACACCGAATTTTCAGCTTTTTCTACTGCTTAGATGGCTCTCACCCCTATCCCATGTTTTGCAGATTTAGTTTCTAAAGCTGAAAGTTTTGAGTTGTTCCACTGTTCCCTTGAATCCTCTGACTCCACTCCAAATATGCCGCAAAGAGGGCCATTATGCTGACCGCTGCAACCAACGGTATGTTCGACTTGATTCTTCTCATGCTCACCTTGCTGAAGCCTTTAACACATCATGTTCTATTGCTGGACCCGTTGCTGCTGATTGGTTTCTGGACACTGGGGCTTTAGCCCATATGACATCCAACCCATCTATTTTGGACCAGTCTAAAAATTACACGGGTAAGGACTCTGTGATCGTAGGAAATGGTGCATCCCTACCCATTACCCACACCGGTACTCTTTCTCCTGTTCCAAATATTCACTTATTAAATGTCTTGGTTGTCTCTTACCTTACTAAAAATCTTCTTTCCATAAGTAAATTAACGTCTGATTTTCCTCTCTCCGTTACATTCATTAATAATCTTATTACTATCCAGAATTGTCAAACAGGAAGAGTGGTAGCAACCGGTAAAAGAGATGGAGGGCTATATGTGTTGGAGCGCGGCAACTCTGCTTTTATTTCAGTCCTTAGAAACAAATCTTTACATGTTTCATATGATTTATGGCATGCTCGTCTGGGTCATGTGAATCATTATGTTATTTCTTTTTTAAATAGAAAAGGTCATCTTTCTCTTACATCTTTATTGCCTTCTCCATCATTATGTAATACTTGTCAGCTTGCGAAAAGTCATCGATTGCCTTATTCCCGCAATAAACGTAGGTCGTCTCATGTGTTAGATCTTATTCATTGTGATCTTTGGGGTCTTTCTCCCGTCAAATCAAATTCGGGTTTTCTTTATTATGTTATTTTTATTGATGATTATTCTCGATTCACTTGGCTTTACCCTTTAAAATTTAAATATGATTTCTGTGATATTTTTCTTCAATTTAAAAAAATTTGTGGAAAATCTATATTCTTCTCGTATCAAGGTATTTCAAAGCTATGGAGGTACTGAATTTACTAGCACTTGTTTCAAAACTCATTTACGTAATTTTGGCATCGACCATCAACTCTCTTGTCCATATACACCTACTCAAAATGGTCTTGCTGAGAGAAAACATCGTCATGTGACTGAGACTGGCTTGACCCTTCTCTTTCACTCTCATCTTTCTCCTCGTTTTTGGGTTGACGCTTTCAGCACTGCAGCTTATATTATCAACCGGTTTCCTACTCCACTTCTTGAAGGTAAGTCACCCTTTGAACTCCTTAATGGCTACATTCCACATTATGACAATTTTCATCCCTTTGGTTGTCGTGTTTATCCTTATTTGCGAGATTATATGCCTAACAAGCTTTCTCCCTGCATCATTCCTTGTATTTTTTGGGGTTATAGTCCTACTCATAAAGGGTTCCTCTGTCTTGATCCCACCACCACTAAGCTATATATCACCCGCCATGCTCAATTTGATGAAACTCACTTTCCTGCTATCCCTAACTCCCCGGCCCAACCTCTTTCCTCTATTCCTATTTCAAATTTCTTAGAACCACATCTTTATCATATTGATTCATCCCCCCCTACCACTTCATCATCGCACATTCCTCGATCTAGTTCATCCTCGTGTGATATTTGTTCTGATCTTGTGGATGAGTCTGTGCAGGTTGATACTTCTCTTGTAGGTTCCACTTTGCCACCCTCGACTTCTAATTCGGCTTCTATTGAACCTACTGTTGATTACTCTTCTTTGGGCATTCATCCTATGATCACACGAGCCAAAGCTAGTATATTCAAGACTCGTCATCCAACAAATCTTGGTATTTTGGGCTCATCTGGACTTCTTTCTGCTCTTCTTGCATCCACTGAGCCAAAAGGATTCAAATCTGCTACTAAGAATCTTGCTTGGGTGGCTACCATGGATGAAGAAATTCGAGCGTTTCAACAAAATAATACTTAGACTTTGGTTCCTCGCCCTACCAACACCAACATCGTGGCCTCTAAATGGGTGTTTCGTATTAAATATTTTCCTGATGGATCCATCGAGCGTTTCAAGGCTCTTTTTGTTGCCAAAGTTTATACTCAGGTTCCTGGTCTTGACTACACTGACACTTTCAGTCCGGCTGTCAAAGCTACCACTGTCCGTGTTGTGCTCTCTATTGCAGTCACAAATAAATGGCCTCTTCGACAACTTGATGTCAAGAATGCTTTTCTCAATGGAACTCTTATTGAATGTGTTCATACGGAACAACCTTCGGGGTATATTGATCCTCGATTTCCCACTCATGTTATTCTATTAAAGAAAGTCTTTTATGGCTTAAAGCAAGCTCCTCGTGCCTGGTTTCAGCATTTTAGCTCATTTCTTCTCACACTTGGGTTTTCTTGCAGTAGCGCTGACACGTCCCTTTTTGTCTTTCATCAGCAAACTAACCTTATCTATTTGCTTCTTTATGCTGATGACATTATTGTTACCAACAACAACTCATCTCTTATTGACAGCTTTACTCGCAAGCTTCATTCTGAGTTTGCTACCAAAGATTTGGGTTCTCTCAGTTACTTTCTTGGTCTTGAAGCCTCACCCACTCCTGATGGTCTCTTTATTAGTCAGTTAAAATATGCTCAAGATATTCTTACTCGTGCTTAGGTTCTCGATAGCAAACCAGTCCACACTCCTATGGTTGTTTCTCAACACCTGACTGTTGATGGTTCTCCTTTCTTT